CGAGGCGCGTAGCGCCGAGTTGGCTATAATCATCTCATATCCAACAAGCGCGAGTGGAATAATTGTTTTATTAAAAACGTTAAATTAAATTATTAAATTTTATTAAATTTTTAGCTCCCTTTTAATTTTAAGCTGACACGTACGCTTGCCATATTTGTAGATTATGGTATATTGGCTGATATACCATAATGGTTAAGCCAATAAAAAGTCTTGAATTGCATTATCCAATGATCTAGTTTTTAATAATTAACAATTATTCCACGAGCGCGTGTTGGATATGAGATGATAGATAGCCAAAGAGGCGCGTATTGAAAACGCCCCCCTAAGAAAATATTATTTTGTAAGAAGAAACCGGATTTTTTAGCTCCCTTTAGATTTTAAGCTGACGCGTACGCTCACCATATTTGTAGATTATGGTATATTGGCTCATATACCATAAAGGCTAAGCCAATAAAAATTCTTGAATTGCATTATCCAATGATTCAGTTTTTAATAATAGACGATATCCAATATAGCTCACAAATTGATCGATTTGATGTTGACACTCTCGCTCTTCAATCATCCCTGAAATCTCACGTTGTTCGCTCTTTCCAAACACAGTAGAAATTACTGAAGACGGCAGAAAAAACAAATAAACGAAAAACAAACTATTTCATTGGCCATATAACCTTGAAAAAACGTTCAATAAAATGAATAACCTGTCATACAGTATCAAAAGGTTAATTACTACTGAAAAACCGTGAACAGGTAAAGTATAGTGGATACCCAGTTGTTTAAAGAGCGGATCCAACGGATAAATCGCTAGCAGTGGATAAGTGATAGCAAAACGACCTGTGCTATCCACTGAATAAAGATTCATCCAGTGGATAGCGTGATTCAACCTTCGAACCACCAGGGCCTGGTGAAGATTATTCGCTACGCATTTGCACTAAATTGAAAGAAACCTTGGAGTATGGTTTCGCATCATCAACCTCCTCTTAATGATTGTAGGCAATATATAAATCCACGTGTTCAGAAAGCGGCATGTTTTTCAATGAGCTATTTGTTTCTGAACTTTGGTTTTGTCAACTAATTTGAAATCGAAATTGGCCACCGTAAAGAGTTTAAAAGCTGACGCTTCGAGCGTTAGCCCTTCGCCAGAGCGAAAGACGAGTTACCCCCACCCAGACGCAGCACCACCGTTTCTTAAGAAACTCACCTCTTTTATTCATTCAACTAAATTGAAATTGTAAATTGGCCACTGTAAAGAGTTAAAAAGCTGACGTTTCGAGCGTTAGCCTTTCGTCAGAGCGAATGACGACGAGCTAACGCTCGAAACGTCAGCTTTTTAACTCTTTACGGTGGCCAATTTACAATGTCAACTTAGTTGATGTTACCAAATCACCTTGTTACCCCCAGCACCAGTAACACCGTAACACCTTGTTGCGCAGCACAACAGTTTCTTTGAAACTTACCCCCTTTATTCATTTGTCTTTTATTCATTCGTTTCTGATCTTTTCCAAAGAGGAGCTCCAAATTCTGAACAGGAAGCATCAGTCACTCCCTCGAACGAAATACCAAACGTCTGGTATTTAGCTGACAATGGAAATTCGTTGTTTCCGACGATTGAAATATATTTTCGTTTAAATTTGCTTCGTTTCGTTAGAATCGGCAGCCTAAAAATTCACATTCCAAAGACAGAGATCCACAACAGGATGGTGATATATACTTAAAAGGATTTGCAAATGCTTTTTTGCCCCTTGATTATTGTAGTGTAAATAAGTAAATTGATATTTGTGCGCCACTTTCCTTTCAACGTACGATGCAAGTGTCATTTTCGTAAGTGTTTTCTGATCAAAACTGTCAAAGTTAAGTAAACTTCTCCGAGAGCAAAACCCACAGATCTTATTTCTTTCAGGTTCGTTCAGATTCACTATCTATAGTTCTGAATCTCTCGCGGGTTGTCTGTAGAGAAATATCTTGATTAAAATGACGCGAAGATCTTCGACCTATTACAATCTCCTTGAATGCGTGACGAAAATCCTTCTTTGCCAAAGTACACAAAATCGGGTTTAACATCATTGGTAAAAAACCAAGGCAAGTTTGCAGACGCTGAGACCATAATGGTATGGTAGAATCATCTGACGAACTAGAATGATCATGTAACACCGTGAAGAAATAAGGCAGCCAACAGCCGCCAAAAATTATCATCGTGATCAACAGTATGCTACGACCCCGCCACTCATGACGCAAAGATCCAGTGGGCAGCTTATAATTATAAGTTTTGATCCTCTTGCGGTCATTTTTGTTGAGTTCATAGGAAATATAAAAAATGCGTCCATATATGTAAAATATTAACAAAAAAGGACCAGCAAAGAACAGCACGATGCACGCAAGGGCGTACTGTTTGTTTAGATCATAAATAAAGGCGGGTCGATCGCTGAACTCGATTCCGTGAAAAATATACCAAGACAACTGAACGACAGACGCTAGAATTGAAATCAGCCACACGGCAAGGGTGGCAGCCATTGCTCGTCTCTTTGTTACAAAAACACGGTACTTCATATCATGAACAATAAAGACATAGCGGTCTGCAGCGATGAGCAGGACATGACAAACTGAGGAGATGGCTGTCAATCGAGTAAATACGGTGGAGGCCACACAGACATGGAGCGAATGGGTGTCCAAAGAGCAAATGAAGAACAGAGGCATTCTCACTAGACCCGATGTAAGATCTGAAAGTGCTAGTGAAGTAAGAAACATGTTGGTGAGTGTTCTCAATATCCTCTTTCTGCACATTAAAAAGATTATAAGACCATTTTCGAAAACAATTAACAGGCACATGAAAGACATCAGAACAATCAGCGGTGAAGTCAGAAATTTAAACTCATTTTCAGGTTCGGTTCCATTGGTTGAGGTATTTCCGACCATACTTGAGTTGAATTCGTTGGGTGATGAGGAAACACTGTAGTGATGCAATTCTTGTTCCTCTCGGTTCGGCGTAACAATCAATCACCTAAAGAAAAGAACGGCCTTTATAAAAACATGTAACATGACACTACGATAAACTTTCTGAAGGACTGCATTGATATGAAACCACTTTTTAAGGGTTAAATTTGAAAATGGAATATATGGAGATAAGACTTAATAAGCTTGTATGTTGTGTTGAAACATACAAGTGGGAAGTTTTAATTGGAGTTTTTGGACTAAGGTAAAAATTAGTACTGTCGGTTTTCTTTTTGCGCCATCCGGTTCGACAGGTAAGTTAATTACATCCTCCCACGACATTTTCTGACCAAGAGGAATGATGCGAATCGTAGATAGACCTTCAATATGGAAACATCGGGGTTTATAGAAAATGAATTATGAAGTTTCCTCTGTGGGCACCATATCGTGATAAAATATCTTGAATAATTCACCATTGTTTTCCAGGGTTAACCCGGATGATAAAATCTTTCACGCAGTGTGGTGATATCGTCCTGTGATTTGATATATTATAAAGGAATCATGGCTAAACTATACGGAGACATGCATGTTTTTAGAGAAGATTCATCTTTATTTGCAGTTTTTGGAAGCGGTGAATGCGCTCGAAAAGTTTCGTCAAGAAAACGGTGTTTACTTGAAGCTCTCGGCTGAAAAATCTCATTTTTTCCAAAGAAAATAAAAGAGGAATTATAAGCCAAGGACGAAATCCTCCACTTTTATTACTTATTTAATCGAGCTGAAAACACGAATTTAGTTTGCTTACCTTCAGGGTTTAATGTTAATGAGGTGAATTTTTTTCTGTTTTTTATCCGTTTCCCTCAGACCATTTAAGGCCCTGTAGACTTTGCGACTCCGAAACCTTCTGCTTTTTAATTAAGACAACACCACATTTCCCAGATTTAATAAAAGAAATGCTTAATTTTCTGAAAAAAAAATAAAACGATATGTCACTTTGATGAGACACTTCTTGTTTTTTGCCGGTTTCAAAAGGAAAAAGGACTGAAATCTCTTGAAAATGAAACATTAAGCTCCACATTTATGATGGACAGGGCTAAGGATAATGTGATGTATGACACTTTTTACTTAAAATTTACTTCATTGAGGTAAAAACACAAACTAAATAAGTTTATCCAAAGGTTAATAGTGTCCATGACTTAGGAAAGTCGAACATACATTATGCCAAATTGCACTGATTCTACTACACATGACGACCCTTCAAAAGGATCTCTTAAGCATCTGTATATTTCCATGTCCCTAATACAGATCCTTACTGATAAATTTCCACTGAATATGTGTATATGGGCTCTCTCTTATTTCCATTTCATCTTATGAGCGTTAGTGCTCATCGATCAAATCTGTGAGACCGTTTAGGGTGTTTATTTGCCCAGCTTGCCATCTGCTCTCACGCACGTACCAGAGTGTTTTGTCTATTATCATTTTTATCGCAATTTTGCGATTAATGCATGAAATTGCAATTGTGTAGTTTATCGTTCCACTATTATGCCATTTTACCATAAAAGGGAAAAAGAGCTCGCAAAATAGGCGATTTTAATACACTGTGGAACAGGGAAAACTATGGGCAGAAAGCGGAGCAACAACCAGGCGTAACTAACCGATCCAAACTTACCTACTTTAGGCTCGACTTTTTTAAAAAGACGAACTTGTAAATGAAATGGTTTTTTTTTGTTTTTCATAAACGACACCTTAATAGTTTTGACTGTTTTGTTTTTGTCTTCCGTGCGCACTTCGTCCAAACGATACGGTTCTGTGAAAATTCTCGGCTGTTTTTATTTCGGAAAACTAGGAATCAAAATACGAGAAAATGGAATAACAGCGGAATAATAAATCCTTTCCTCGATGTTTTACATATATTGCGAGCGGCATTTTGTGCCTTGCGCATTACTCGTATTTGTGTGTTCAAACAGCGAACAGGATGTCATTTACTGTTGTGGTTTTTGCATTTCTAAAATCTAAAATTGGCCCTTAAGCTCAAAGTCTTTAAGAATCGCTGTACTGAACACTCTTTTTTTCACTCCAGACGATCCATATCATAGTATTCATGATTCTAGCAAAAGATGAGTAACAATACTTCCACTATAATCGTATTTTCCAACGCGATCTCGGTAGTTCGTATAACAACAAGTCAAACCAAACCAAGATTAACAAAGCAACCATTGCGGAACTGACTGTAAAGATCATCAGAGGTGATCAGTTCATATTCTTTTTTTTTTTATCCTTTGCTTCGTTGTGTTAACTCAGCAGAAAATTTAATTAGCGCTTTCTTGGGTAAATAAACGCTAGCAGTGAGCTTTCTCTCCTTGATTTCCGACAGATTTTTATCCATATCATTCAATAAGAAATTAAGTTTCATGAAACTTATTCCTGTTTGAAAGAAATGCTCCTAATTAACTAAAAAGTCTGGAAGTTTCCATGAGTTTGATTAACTCTCGACACGTTTTTTTCCTCAGCCGTCTGTTGATACGAGACGTGGTCTTCCGTTGTAGTGAATATCGATATTGAATAGAATGACTAAAGATTCTTCGTGATCAGCTCATTGCTATGAATAATAAAATTTTCGCAGTGTTAAATTTGTGCATTAAATATGCAGTGTCATTCTATGCCGACCTTGAATCAAGAGCCATAAGTATTAAAACACTTGTCAAACTGTCGCGACCGTATGTGCATGAGCAGTAGAGTTGCTGCAAAGAGACGAACGCTCTGAAGTTTTACTTTGAGTAATTTTCAAGTTGGACGCTCTTAGCTTTTGCATCTCCGATGATGATCAATCGCATGAGTTTACCTAGCTTTGACATGCCGCCTATTATTTTCAATAAGCCTACCCAAATGAACCGTTCTTCACTTCAAAAAAAAAAAAATAAAATAAAATCTTCATTTACCTGTTATCCTTCCACAAATTGGACTCACTGTAAAACGAATATCCAGTTTGAGGCACAAAGTTTACGAGATTTGAATAAAAACTAACAATTTCGGAAAAATCGTTGATAACAATATCTTGATAGCGTCAAAGATATTAAACCGGCTAAGTTGATGCTTTCGATTTACTTCAGCTTAAAATGATCCTTTGAAATAAGAAGTGGAAGGAACAGGTCAGCTTGGAACAAAAAGCAAAACAGGACTCGAGATGGAAATTCACAAGATGGAAATTCACAAGATGGAATTCCTTAAACTAAGTATTTTACGGGATATTGTGCTCAAAAAGGAAATACAGCGTAACAAACAAAGGATTCTAGAAGTGACCATCATAAACTTGATATATTTTATAGACTGTTTAGTTAATTTCATATATCAATGGTCAAAAACTGAGCTTACCAATGTACTCGTTGAATACTCCGGCCGTTCGGTTTCCTGATGATACAGAAGTACCGAATGCTCCGACACTTTTGCATTGCGTCTAAATATGAATATTTATTGTAGTAAATTATCTAATTCCTGCCCCTCAAAGCTGAATTCTATTGGCTGGAAATACAAACTTAATGTGTTTTGTCTCCATGCCACCAGCAATAAATTTGGCAAAAAATCACAACAGTTGCGGTTTAGACTTTCAGCGTGCCCTAAATTGATTTCGAGCTTTGTCGGCGCGCGGGTCAAAGAAAGTCGAAGCGCCGGCCGACGAAAAAAAAAGTGACCCCCTAAAGAAATCCAGTAAGTGAATTCATTCATTTGGCTTCAGTTTGGTACTTTGCATGAGTTCTAGCGACACAGTCCTCGAACGCCCATATTTAAAGCTGCTAAAGTTTGGTGAAAGAAAGCAGTGAAAAGCTGAAAAAACGAATTACCTTTTCTCTCATTTATCTTTAAATGGACTCTTGGGTGACTTCTCGTGTTCGCATGCTTGTGTATATATATATATATATATATAAAAAATCCATTTAACTGATTTTAAAAGGAACTTGAAGCCGAATTTGTTTTGAAAAAAAAAAGAAAAATATGTTTATTTCTATGATCTTCTAAGTGCAAGCTCCCTGCAGAGGTTCATTTAAACACACGCTTAACACGGCGATGCTTTTTTAAGCCTTGAATTTGCTATCATTTAAAAAGAAAAGCTTACACGTACAATAAAAGCAAACAATAACAGAAAAGAATGAATTAGTTGATGCGATCAAAGCAGCAGTGCATATAAACTGTTCACTTCCAGATCGTTTGAGAGGCTCTCCTGTTGAGAATCATTTTCATGTTTCAGTACAACTTCAAAAGGCAGAAAACGCGATGCAAGAAGATTCCTTTTAATCAGCTCAGATCAGAAGTTTCTCAGACCAACATGTCACTATTGTCTCGCATACGTCAGAGTCATAAATGCAAATATGCAGTTAAGGAAACGTGAGAAAAGCTAATTTTTAAAATCAAATGAATTAGCACCTCGTGACGGTCATGCAGCCTTCCTCTAAAGGTTAGGGTCATCAGAAGAAGTTCAATTTTATATTTTCAAATCGGCAGAAATAATATAAGTATATATTTTATCACCTCTAAGGTTAAATAATTTTTCCAAATAAGTAGGCTTTCTAGATGACAAGTTGTTTGGGAGACGCCTTTCCAAGAGGTGTGAGTATGATGCCTAAGAGGTTTTTTGTTCTTGTTTAAATCAGCTGCTGTCATAAGGCTAGCATATCCTTTTTCATCAAAAATCCTCACGCCTCTCGGAAATAGAAAAGTACGCGATGTAGAGGCTGGCTTAATATTTATTGTTTGATACCTAAATACTGCCCTGTGGAATTCAAATCATTCATTTTCTTTCATTGTTGGTTTGTTATGTATATATATATATATATATATATGTGTGTGTGTGTGTGTGTGAGGGTAGAGCCTGCCTTGGCATAAAGTGCTCAATGCTGTGTTAGCAGAGCTAAGTATACATTAGTTAAAGAATCAAAGAGGACGTATCGATTCTCTGTTACTCTGAGTTTCGCGCCGAAGCGCTCGTCAGACAGCGAAACTCAGAGCGAAACTCAGAGTAACAGAGAATCGATATATAGATATATAGACGTACATGTTTACATGTTGGATTAGAAAAATACAACGACTACGGTTTCATCCCTACAAGCCTGTTTCGTGATTCCCCTGTTTCATCAGGGGATTTGATGAGTGAGCAATCACGGAACAGGCTTGTAGGGCTGAAACCATAGTCGTTGTATTTTTCTAATCCAACATATATTGCGCTCTACTTTATGTATCGAGCACTATAATACGGAAAAATGGAAAAGCACACTTCCTATATATATATGTTTCTATAATCACAAGAAAAGGGTGTTATTTTCAACGATTTCCCCTTTTGTGCCACCGACATTTTATTGGATATCTTAATGTGGACTACGGATATTGAATTAATTCTTGTAATCTCGATGTGGCCAATGCATCATCGGTAGACAATCAAATTGTCTTAGTGGCACTTAAAAGGAGAATTGACATTATATCACTCACCCGAAAAACTACTGAGATTTTTCTTTAAGGAAATTAACACTATTTTGAAGCACAACAAGCTTATTCTGGAGATTTCTTTTTCAGCGTGTCGCTTAATTTCGGCTTCCATGGCAGTGATAATTGAATCAGTGTTTCAGTGAATTTCTGAATGTCATGTCACCTCGTTGTTGTCGATCATCTAATTGAAACCGATAATTGCCATCTCAGAAACATGACTCTTTTTTTTTTTTAACATAACTTTCTCGTTCAAATCTCTTTTCAGGTCTGTTATTCATTCTTCGTCCAACTTTTTTGATCTGTCCACCTGCATTAGGAGAAGCTTGTGTTGATATTCTCTCCTTGCTCCTATTTACTTTTTATTTTTCCTTTGTTTTCTTTTCTATTTTTCAGGAAGTCAGGATTAATTAAGTCACTTCATCTGTTTTTCGAACAACAATAACAAAAATCATAAAACAAACAAAAAAAAAAATTTCTATCCTTGAGAATCATCTCCGCCCCTATTCTCGATTTCAAATTTGAGATTTATTTGTTTGAAGCTGCTGTGCTGCATATGTGGGCGAATATTTTCCTTTTTTATTGACAAAGAGGACGAAGCTCATTAATGAGCATGACATGTCGAAGCGAACTGTGGCAATATCAGAGTTCGGATGATGATCCTTTGTGTTCTCCAAATTAGTTCGTTTTTGGTATATATAACAAGTTAAAAGGCCTCGAGCCAACAGCGACGCCGCGCCAGAAGGATCCAAAAGGATTCACAGTCCAAACCTCGATAAATAGTAGGAAAAATATTATAGTACACGAGGACGGACAACTTCGAGCTAAGAAAGACATATACTCAAATAAAAAAAAATATATATATATATTCTTCATTTTTTTTTTCTTATTGCTGCTGATTCACATCACAGGTAAAGTTCACGAAAAGTCGGGATTTGATGTTCTCGTCTCATCCGGGTGCATTCATCATTTCGGTACAATAATATTGAAATTAACTCCAAGATAATTTGAATTAAGAATACTCTAAACTCAATGTGATGCATTCCTTGATGATGAAGTTTTTCTCTATATACCGGTAAAAGCATCACGACACAAAGCCATTAACGGCCAACAAAACAAAACAAGGAAAGGTTTGACGGAAATGGATTCAAGACAAAAGTAGCCCTGCTAAAAGTTGATTATAACATTTCATTTGAACATTAATGATTTAAAACTCTCCCGTGAAAATTGAAAAATAAGATAACCAAAACTTGGGAATGTCTCAAAAAGTTCACGAAAGGAACAAATAATACTTCGTGCTGCAATGAACAGACGTTATAAATATTTCATTCCTGCTGCAATACCCCTTTTTCAAAGAAAGAAAAAAAATCCCATTTAGCAAGGAAGTTAACAATTTGTTTGTTCACATTAGACAACCTTTGATTTCCTCTGAAAAAAAAAATCAGTTTCATAATGTCCAATAATAATCATTTTAAGAATCCTCACGTGATATTTCAGTGCCAAAAATCTTCAAGCAATCTAATTTCAAAGATATTGACAAACTAAATTCGCGATATATGAAAAGATATATTGAACAAAAAAAAAGCAAACCGAGTTATCTCCCAGTGAAGACCCATGCAGTGCGTCATATAGAACAGAGCATACATTTATCTAAGAAGAGACATTTGAATTAAGCAGCACTTCTTTATTGTCCATCACCTGGCATTGTGAAGTGTTTTTGACAAATATTAATTTCGTTTCTCTTCCGTCAAATCCTATCTTTTGATCTATCGTGAGCGGAATACGATTCGGTTAAATTACCCGCCTGTCATGCAGGAAAAAAAATAATTTGTAACAACTAATTTATACAAAAGTGATTCAACGAATCTAGCTTTGCAAATCGGAGAAAAATTGTAAAATGCCGCATAATTCAAGTGGTAAATGGAATGGTTCACGCTTCCAGACAAATTCTGATCATGAGCGACCCGAGATCCTCCCTTTGTCATTAATTCTAGTTTTATCCTTCATGTGCCTGCTGGTTGTTATAGTCAATAGCCTCGTCATCTACCTACTTCACAAAAAGAAAACCCTGCGAACGCTCACCAACATGTTCCTTGGATCGCTGGCGATTTCAGATCTATTGTCTGGTCTTGTGGCCATTCCTCTTTTTGCTATCTGTTTGGTTACAGATATCATAAACGTTTGCGTGTCCTCCACTATTTTTATTCGATTTACAGCCATTTCCTCTGTCTGCCATGTTTTGTTAATCGCAGTGGATCGTTATATCTTTATAGTCCGCTACATGGATTACCATGCTCTTGTAACGAAACGACGAGCACTCGTCGCCATCGTTTCTGTTTGGCTATTTTCATCGGTGGCTTCCATCATTCAGTTGTCTTGGTACATTTTTCATCAAGTTGGTATTACCGACTTCGAAAATGTCACCAATGAAGTTAATAAACACTACAGCCTAGCTTGTATCATAGTGTTCTTTGCTGTACCTCTCCTTTCCATGTGCTACATTTATGGCCGCATTTTCCATATTGCGGTCAAGCGTAAGAACAGTCTTCGTAAAAGGAGTAACATTGTTCAACAGCCTTGTCAACCTCAACGTCATGAATGGCGAGGTAGAAGTGTGTTGGTTATCGCGATTGGGATTTTCGCAAGCTGTTGGTTGCCATATTTCGTCGCGATGCTGAACGACCACACGAATGATTCTGAACATAATTTCATGAATCTACATGTGCAGCGCTTGTTGGTGTTTGTTGGACTCATTCCTCCCATATCAAACCCAATTTTATGCACATTAGCCAAAAAGGATTTTCGTCGAGCACTGAAAGTATCGTTATTGAGACGGAAAACGAATATGCCCGCTGAAGTTGTGGCTCACCGAGACCAAATACGCCTAAATCTTCTAGCGAATTGACCCCATTTGTCCATTATCTTTGCCGGGTGAGTTTTACCTTTTGCATGTTATCAGATAAAGATAGATAGTTCCAGTAGAGAGGATTCCTTTTAATTTAAATTTTTCGTATCCTCTAGCTGAGGAAATATATGCATCTTTATGATCTGAAATGGAATCTGTGGGAAAAACTTGCAAGTTTGAATTTAGTTTAAGCAGAGCTACGTGGCATCTGATGCGATTACGACAGGTGAAATTTTAATTATGCTTGGTTACTCCTATTGACTGTCAGAATATCAATATAAAATCAACTTTGAAACATAACTTTGACAACCAGACATCCGTGAAAACGTTCCGGCTGCTTTTTCCATTAGCTTGTCGCTTCAATATCCGATTCAGAAGTAAACTCTATTCTTTAAAACTACGCACACGCACACACACAAAAAAAGCAATACCGACAGAAAAACTCGAGAAACGCAAAAAAAAAAGTCAGTTACAGAAAATCGAATCAAAAAGTAACAAAAAGGATGCAGAAATTGAAATTGAGACATTTGCAACAGAACACAACGTTCAGAAGTTGTTTCTCGGCAATCATATTATTTGAGCAAAGCCAATAGTAGTTTGTATTCTTCCTGAAAAGGTTAAATTGTAAAAGTAATTTCTAACATCCGCAGGATGCAAACAACGATTACTCCCTCTACTTCGAACAATTGAATGTGGAAGAAGAAACAAAATCTTTTGTAATTAACAAAAGGATTTTCGATCGCCCTTTTCAATATTCAATATCCCCTTGAAATTTCTTTTTACTGCCTTTACCAAAACAGTTAATCTTAATTTATTCAAGTTTCTTGGAAGCAAAGTTATCTCATCTTTGAACATTTTAAGAACTGTTTCAATTCTCAGGCTCTACTCATTTAAAACGAAGAGACAATTTCTCTCATCTTTTTCATTTTTGTGTACATTTCTGGCCATGCTCTTGCACACTGATCCCAGCGAACGAAAAGCAAAAACCGCAGAGGGCATAAAACCAGAGAACGTGACACTATGCTCTTGCTAATTATAGCAAAGCCGACCATCTGAAAACGAACAACTCCTTGAACTAGGGCAATTAACCAGCTGGCAATATCAAACATACAACTGTTGCTAAGGAGACGCATGGTAATTAGACTACCGAAATAAACTCTTTACTATGGAAGCATAATTTCACCGCTAAGATACTATTTTCTAATTGCCCACATTACTCTTCACGCTCGATGACCTTCAAAAACTGATCATCGGCTCTGAAATCTTAAATTAAAATATGACAACATCTTGACTGCTGACTACAAACAAGCACTAAGACCAATAAAAAGCGAGTAGGACATCGTCGAATTTCACATGTGCCGAACTTAACTCCTATTTCAGTCGACTAAAATAGTTAAATACAGCATTTGATTCAAACGTCGAATTTAACTCTGTTCGCTGTCACCATTTCCCAGGCGCACTACTTAATTGCTAGACGAAGACGTCTATTGAGCGTTTGCTTAATTGTTTTACTGCTGCTTTTGTTTTGCTGTTTGTTTTTGCTTCGTCGTCTTGGCTATTCGTCATGATACTTTGACTTGATTCACGTTCCATCATTTCATTGAAACAAGACCTACAATATGCCACATATTTTTCTAATTTCCACCCAGGAGTTCCTTCTTCGTTTTCTAAAACCGAACACCTCATACAAAAGTAATTACCGCACGTCAACAACTATATTTTGTGCTGTTTTGGCTTTTTCGCGCGTGGCATTCACAGAATTCCTGGCGAGTTGTGTGTAATAAACGGATCATAATAATTTCCTTTAATTTAAGTTCGAAGGAACATGTGAGATGCGACGTTTGAATCAAAAGTCGAACCTAAGTCGAATCTTCGACTGTTTCAGTCGCAGATACGGCGAAAGTCGCATTTGATTTAAAACAGTCGAATTTAATAGATTCAAACGTCGCATGCATTTAACTCTCGCATTAAGTTCGGTACATGTGAAATTCGACGTTTGAACCGGGCCTTAATGCTGTGTGGACAAAACTGACACTTACGACAGACATGATAGACGCAATGACAAACGATCGACAACAAACTTGCGCTCTGACGAAGGGCTAACGCTCGAAACGTCAGCTTTTTTTGTTCGTTACGGTGGCCAATTTACAATTTCAACTGAGTTGATATAACCAAATTACCTTGTTACCCCCAGTTTCTTTAGAAACTTTTAGCCTTTAAACTTACGAAGAACTGAAACGTGACCCGTCTCCAGCGCTTTAAACCAAACTCAACAGCACAAACTATTCAAGCTCGAGAGGGCTGACGCCATCAACGCTCAACGCTACAAATGACTAAAGTGCTTAACCACAGTCACCGAAACGTTACGGCCAACCGAAGCTCACATACCAGGAGCCTGTTTCTTGAAAGTCTCAGTGGCTGAATGGGCCCATAAAGCTGTTCTGTTTTCATTTAAGATGGGGGGTTCAAACGTTTTGAGCCATTATACAATAAAACCAACAGCTTAAGAAACAAAATTGACTAGTTAGGGCTTCATAGCCTGCTTCTCTATCGTTAACTTTTGATTTTAAAATACGGCTTCGGGCCCGTTAAATTACCGGGACTTTCGAGAAACGGGCCCCTGGTTTCCGATGCCGACTTGAAGGCTCTACAAAGCTGGTCCACTTACTTATCCTAGATCACTCTCTTGTTGGGTCACAAAAACCAGCGGCACTATACAAACGATGACCGATCACAAATGAATCGAAAATGACCGATCACGAATGAATCGAAAATGACCGATCACGAATGAATCGAAAATGACCGATCACGAATGAATCGAAAATGACCAATCACGAAATGAATCGAAAATGACCGATCACGAATGAATTAAAAAACTCGAGTCTTGCAGCCATTAACATCACGGAAAAATTGACTTATCAGTTTCCACCATCGGATCAACTGACGGCAACTGATAATGCCTTCCAATAAGGTTTCGAAACGTCAGCACCGCAACCGACAGACGTTCTCAGGACCACTCTCATCCAGACGACCAGAATGCATCAGTGTTTAAAACTAAATATATTTTCTCTCTTTATATATGTATGTATATTCATTAACTTTTTAAGCTACTCGCTTTTTTGATTTGTTTTTGTGACATTGAATGTTCGATGGCCCCGTCTCCTGCAGGGTTAGGGGTAGGACACGTTAATTTCCCACGCACGAGATTACTGCGTGGTGGATGTCCTCCCCTGGTGTGAGATGGGTGGGTGTTACACAGGATTCCATTTAAACCAGCTGTTCGTTGAATTGGGCTATTCCGTCTAAATATTCATAATTTCATACATACATAAATCAACTGAGTTGATAATATAAATTAGCCTCATTTAAGAATTTCTAGCTTAGAACTCTTAACAGTGGCCAATTTACGTTGTAAACTCAGTTGATAAACCATGTTATCTTGTTGTATTCTCCTAGCGACGCAGCGCCTCCTTTTACAAATATTATACAGTCATCGGACACAGGTACCTGGAGACGAGTTGCGTGGTCAATGACGGAATATTTTCCAATTTCAAGGATGAAGACATATATCCATTGGTGCAAATTTAAACCTGATTTCGAGAAAAATGGTTTTATCTTGAATAGGGCTCCAGAGGAGCTCTTATTTACGGGACAGTTATTGGGAGAAACTCTAGGATTCATTAACTGAAAACGAGCCAAGGATCATTTGACAGTCTTTCACAAAAAATGCAGCTGCAAATGGCGATTAAAGGATCATGTTTTGAATTTTACTTTATTGTCTTTTGTAACTGCTCAGTCATGTTTTGAGTATTGCTGCATTGTCTTAGGTAACTGCTCCATTGAAGATCTGATGGGACTACAAAGAGGTTGCCAGTGGTGTGAATCGTCCAAAGTGGAACCGCTGAAAAATGCCTATCAACAATGAAAAATGCAAGAAACTTGCCACCAACTTTCAACGAAGCTAGCTACTTTTAGCTTTCAAGTCTTAAAGATATTCCATAGACGTCCAATGTTCACAAAATATTTTTGAGCACAGGTTCCTTCATTTACATTTTTGGCCAAAGGAAAAACAGTTAATGCTGGCTTCCCTCTGGATGCACTTCCGGCGTTGTATAATATTGCCCGTGTAACCAAGACTGATGTTACTTGTGACGCAGCTGCCACTAATTGG